AAAGTAAATCAGAGCTAAAAAAGTGTAAAAACGCAGGCAAATTTGCCTGTATTCTACTACAATCTAAGGGATACAATCTAAACTATATATAGTATCTAAATTTTTTACACTAAAATTACTAAAAAAAAAAATAAAAGTATTATGCTAAAGGAGATATTATGCTAAGGGGGTATTTTACTCTACAAAATACAGTACTTTACAAAATTGATACAAATTCTATCTAAAATAGTAACTAATTTTAATTAAGTATAGATCTGTATCACACTTCTGTGTGAATTTTACCCTTTCATATTATAATAACAATAATAGCAACAAAAAAATTATTAAAAAAGTATATTATGTTATCACTTATTTTTGATTACCAGTTTTATATAATTTAATTTTTTCTGATAGCCAATAAAATGGTTAAATGTTAAAAACCATTTTTGAAATCAAAACTAGACTAAAAACATTACAGCTGTTCTTATAATTCTGGATCAATTGATAAAAATTGGTTTGTTTTGACCGATATTAGATTTTTTGGTATTATAGTAATATCGATAACATCAAATTTAAAAACTATCACAGGTCTGAATTTGACATATCCTACATCTATTCTACACCTATCCTGTGCAATGACATATAGGATATCTTACACATGTCTGCAAACCAACTACACATATTCTACACATATCTTATACCTATTCTATGAATTTGAATATTTGTATAAAATTTGTATACTTTACATGTACTATATGTGTAGGATATCCTATGTCATTCTTACTCATCTGCTACCCGATTTGTATAGCTTAAGTGTAGGATATATCAAATTTTGACCTGTATATTGAATTCGGCCAAATTATCATTAGTCAATTTTTATTATTGTCCTAAAATTTATGAGAACAGCTGTAATTTTGGACACCTGATAAAAAAAAAAAAGACTGAATGATTGTTTGGCCGATTCGATAAGTTATTGATTTCGGCATGATTATTGTAACATTTATTATTTATAGAAAGTTTAAATTGATTAGTAAAGTAAAACTCACACGAAACATATAAAATACTACAAGGTTTTATATGACCTCTATTTATGGTGTGGTAGTAATAATATTCTCAAAGCATACACGCTGGCAAATAGTTGAACAGTTATCAATTCGAACAATTGATAAACACTTAAGTGTTAGCAGATCTTTAATAAGTCGAGTTCTTAAACAATTTCAAAGATGCCACTTGTAAGAAAACCACGTCTACTAAACCTGTATTAATTGAAAAAAAGCCTGACTGGTATTTCATGAATTACGATCAGAGATGAAACTTCGGTTAGGATGTAAAAATAGAGACCGTTTAGAGCCTTGTAGTATTTTATATGTTTCAATTTACTAATCAACGTTACAATGATCATGCCGAAATCAATAACTTATCGAATCGGCCAAACAATCATTTGGTCTTTTTTTTTTACTAGATGTTCCAAAATTACAGCTGTTTCAAAAATTCTGAAACATCTAGCAAAAAATTGACTGACTGAATCTTTGCCAATTCGATAAATTTATGATTTCAGTAATGATTGCTACCGAATCAGAACCTATCGAACCCAATCAGTTAGCTTTTTAGGAATATTAAAATTATAGGATCGAAGAAATAGCATTTCGGGGAAGGTGGACTTCGGGAAAGTGAGCAACAACAAAATGTATACGCCAGTTAATAAATATAAGCCAAAATTAATTATTGTTTATCAAGGGTAGTTATCAAGCTCGTTTTCAAATTATATTGTACAAATCTAGAAGTGATCAAAAATTTTTCGCTTTGTCTTTGCCGATCAATGATTATCAATTCATCAGACCATTAAAAAATTCGAAGCAAAAAAAGTCAATAATGTTAATTACTAAAAAAAATAAATATACAAACTCAGATCGGAACACTTTTAAAAATACTCAGGAGATTAAAAGCCGTATGATATTGTATTTTACGTAAAGATAAAAACAACATTACTCGAGTAATGGATTACAGAATATAGATTCATTATTATAAAGATTCGCCAAATCGAAAAAGATTTTCGAATAAATAGTATAGAGTATATAAAACGTGAGGGATTTTATTAATAAAAGGTATTACGGATTTTTTATTTCAGGGTAATTAATTAAAACAGTAACCTGTACCGGTAATCATCCGAATTAAACATTGTACCACTTTTTGTTTTCTAACGTTAATAATGCAGTTTATACCGTAAGTGTGCTTCTTTATGGTACACATAGACGTGTTTATTCACCGTGCTTATTTTCCACATTTTACGGTACGTGATTTTATTTTAATGTTTAATACGTATAAAACAATGCAAATACGTAACGGTATTTTTTTTCTAGTTCCGACTATCACCGTTCCGACCAAATGTTCCGGACGATCTTCCGAACTCAATCTGGTACACATTTTCTAGGTGCATTATGCACATATCCTTGGCTCACTTTTAGTTAAAGAGTTTATAAAATAAACTAAAAACCATTTACTTTGGTACATCGTATTAAGTAATGTTATTCATTTTACAATATAACAGATCCTTTGCAACATGTAGTCCATATGCATAAGTGTATAGTCTACTATCGATCCATAAATTTTCAATATGTTGCTTCCGTAATTCTGTTGAGTCACAGACTTTGTTATTATAATAAAAGATGATAATAAAGTATGATACTTGATAAATTATTTTACCCTGTAATCTTTCGTATAGATTTTCTAGAGGAACTTTAATCACTTGTAGGCTCCATTCGTCATCATCCAGTTTTTGTGTAGGAGAAACATTATCAACAGACGTTAAATTGACCTTTTACACAAAAAAGAATAAACAGATTAATATGTAACAAGACAGACAATTGGTGATTATAACTTAAATATATTTACTTCAACGTCAACAACCCTTGTCATGGAAGTTGTCAAACCCGGTTCGTAACATATGGGATCTGATATACTTTGTATCTTACCTGTATAGCCTGTTTCTTCACAAAGCTCACGAAGCGCTGCTGCTTCGATTGATTCTCCTGCGTTAATTAACCCTTTGGAAGGACACATTTGATGTGAATAAAATGATTACAAATTGATGATTACACTTTATAATACCTGAAGGAAATTCAATACAATATTTTCCAATAGGTGGTCGATATTGCACCACCAAAATTATTAGAGGTGAATTTACGTTTTTAATTACTGCATGAATATCAACCGCTATTGAAATATAAGTAAATTATTAACGAACGAAAATTAAGTGAAGTAAAAACGTTGAAACATCAACTTTACCGTCAACGTCATGATTAGACTCCGTTTTTCTTCGGCACACTTCCCATTTCCTTGCAACGTTTAATTTTGGATCGATATATTCAATCTCCTCCAATTCAAGCCAGTCACCTGAACCAATCTTTTTCGAAATATATGGATCGGACTTTTCAACCGGTATGAGGTCAAAGTCACAAGTACCATTCTCTGAACACATTATTTAGCTTTCAGCGGTTAATATTAACGAACCTAACTGCCGCAATAATTTGGCCTCCATTAACGTTAAGTAATTTAAGTTAAAATTATTAATTAATTTTGGCCGGAATTAATTTTTTGTTACAAAAAAAGTTCGATGGCAGCTGCAATTCGTTGGTCCAATTCTCAAATTTTATTCTCTAAATGCTGATTCACTTTAAGTGTAGAATTTTAGTTTAATAATAAATCTTTTCTAAACTAGACTGTTGGAGAAAGCCAATTGGACTTTAGGCTAAGGCTAAGGTTAATAAAAAAAATATTGGACTTAAGACTAGTAACAACACTGGTATATAGGGATGGTTCATTGGATCTGTTTCTTTGGCTATTTGTTGAAGGTAAAGAAATTTTTCATAAAAAAGTCATTTATCATTGAGAGGATGAGAAATATGCAACTGTGAAATAAATATAAAAATGATCCCGGCTATTTAAGTCGCTGATTTTGTCAGCAGCGATTCATAATTCCGAGAAATTATCGTTTGATATTGACAATGATTATTTTTAACAGGCCAAACAATTGACGAATTATATATACTTATATAAGATAAGTGAGAATATTTGTTTATCCGTCTATAACAGATTATACATAATTTAAGAATTGATTTTATAATTTGACGAATATATATCTACGCAACTAAATACTAAACACTCTTATTTTCGAATTTTGCTAGC